ACATGTCCTTCTGACAACACATTTCTGAAAACTTATCTTTCTAATTATTCCGAATTAATATCTCCATCCTACAAAAAAAACGCGTGATCCATTAGCAATGAAAGAACTTTCATTAAAATGTCCTTCATGTTCTCATTCCTATTCGTGTAATTCTTTTCATTATCGTGGAAAACTTCCTATCAATCGACGTTTACATTATCTTCTATCTATTCGTCGTAAATATAAACGAATCCCAACACCGAATACATATAAACGTCGTTTATTAGATAATTTTACTAATAAATCTCGTTCAAAATTATTCATTAAATGTACACAATGTAATGAAATAAGAACATTTCAAGGAGCAACAAGAAAAGAAATTCCAAATAGAATCATTAATAAAATTGAACCACCAAAACCAAAACCACAACCAAACACTCTTTCTAATAATATTAAATTAAAACAAACATTTGAAAAAGTTTCTTGTCGTTTTCTAAAAAAAGAAAGCAATCTTCGAGCATTTCTTGAACAACTTTAAGTTATGCAAAAAAAAACAAAGATTTGTTTCATTTCAGATTCAATGTCGGATTCTAATGAACCACTTACAGCCGAACAACTCGAACGTATTGAACGTAATCGTCAACGTGCACTTCAACTTCGTGCAAGTTCAACAAAAACTTATCAAACACAAACAGAAAAAAAAATTATTAATCCTACTCCAACTCGTAAACAAAATATTGATTCTCATGCTGGATTTTTTCTTGATGAAGATCCAAAATCAGTTGATAATCGTCCTGTTACTTATGAAACAGTTCCTATTATTCATCAAACCAAACCCGATCAATTAGATACACTTGGCATGCCATGTAATGAATGTGAAATGATATTTTTAACATCTTATTTACATAAAAATTTTGCTGAACCTATTTGTGATACATGTCGAGAGAGATATTCAATAAATGATGAAAAAGATGATATTGATGATGAAAAAACAATACGTTATAGTTTAATAACACGTACATCAGCTAAAGATAAATATTTATTAACTGATTATGATCTTGATAAACGTGAACCATTATTAAAATGTATTGAAAAGAAAAATCCACATAATCAACGTTGGGGTACAATGCGTCTTTATCTTCGTTGTCAAATTCAACGTCTAAGTGATACAATACATGAAGGAAAAACTGAAGAAAAAGTTCTTGAACGTGAAGAAAAAAAAATCCGAAAACAAACGAAAAAAATACGAAAAACAAATTGAACAATTACGTTTAGATGTACGATCAAGTTTACAAAAAAAAACGAATTAAAACTGTACATGAACATATTTATGATGAAAAAAATATAAAATATGATGTAGATAAAGATTTATATACAAAAACATGTACAGAATGTGGATATCAATATGAATATGAAGAAATGTAAGACAATTAGCATTTATTTTTATAATTATTATTCTTGCGTTAATCAGATATTAATTTTTGTATAAAAGAAATATTTTTGTTGTTATTGGTTTAATAAATCGAGATATATATATATTGCTTAATATCTTAGTAGTTTTTTTCATAGAAACTGAAAATAATGGTCAAACTAGTGAGCAGCAGAAATAAATAATAGGTCTATGATGATAAAGTCAGTTAACCTGCTACTTTATTATTCTCAAAGAGCCTAAAACAGACATTCATTGCGGAAAATTTTACCAAGTACAGTAAAAATCTATTTGTCTTTTTGTTAATTTTAATTGAGTCATACCATATAGTATTACTATTAAATGTCATACAGCGACTTAGTATAAAATTACAAAAATAACTATTTTCATAAAATTTTATTCCTGACTTTTGATCTCAGTTCTTTTTATACATTTGTTGCTTCGTAAACTAAAATGATTAAATATTTTTATTATTTTCTAGATGATCACAAACATTAATTAAAAACAAATTATTGATTATTTAAGTATGTTTTACAACAAAGGTATTTAAAAAAGTTGATTGATTAAACAAAAGGTTTGCTTATTTTGATTACTTCTTAGTTTTTTGAGACAATTTATGTCTCTTCAGAACTGTGATATTAAATTTAAAATAGGTTTTTCTCTAGAGGTTAAGAAAACCTATCTTATGTACTTACATTACATATTATTTATTATTTTTATGTAAGAAAAAAAATCCTTTGAGATTTTCTACAAGTGCATCTTGTATTTATATGGCTCTATTAGTAATATGTTACCATTCTTTAGTGACATCTGCAATTAAAATAAATCGATCCAAAAAAGAGAATCATCATATTTACTATCTAATCATATCGTGTCTTTACAAAACATAATCAACATAAAGAAGACTTAAGTAATGCAATTTGAATCTTTGTTTTAGATAGATCTTTTTAACACGAGAACGTTAAAAATTTGAATTAAACCATCAACTATGATGGAAAGTGGAGATTATAATTCTATGGGTTCAAATCGTACAACTAATGATGATCAACAACAACAACAACAACAACATGATGGTAGAAGAAATCGCAGAGTTGATTATCGTTTTTTAATTCCATCTCGCGATGCTGGAGGTTTGAATTTTTTTTTAATGTTACAAAAAAAAATGAACTAAATTTCTTTTGCTTGTTTATAGCAATTATTGGTAAAGGTGGTAAAACAATTCAAGATCTTCGCTTGAAACATCGTTGTCAAATTCAAATGGCTGATTGTGAATCACCTGAACGTGTTTTAATTATTAATGGTGATCAAACCGATGTACTTAATTGTATATCAGATATACTTTTAAGTATTTATGAAAATCATCAACGATCAACAAAATCTGATCAAAGTGAAATTCGTGCATTGATTCATCAATCACAAGCAGGAGCATTAATTGGTAAAGGTGCATCAAGAGTTAAAGAATTTCGAGAAAAACGTAAGTTGAAATGACAGGTAGAATATATTTTTGAAAATAATAATAAACAGTCTTGATTTAGATAATATCGATGTGAAAATTTATCCACAATGTTGTCCTGGTGGTTCAACAGAACGATGTAAGAGAAAAAAACAAAAATGTTTTTTTTTGTCTATATAAAATAAAATTATTTTATAGGTATTTCAATGCGAGGAAATAAAGATGATGTTATAAGTTGTTTAACTGAAGTTTATAGTGTACTTGAAGGTGTACCACCACGCGGTCCATATCGTTATTATGATGCATCAACTTATAATGGTTATAATGTTTCGGATTATGGAGGCTATTCAGACAATCAACAACATCCACGTGGAAATAATCAGTAAGATAAATCATCTATTGAATTGAAATCGAAAATTTTTCTTTCCATAAATATAGTTATGCACAACCTCAAGGTTATTCACAACAATATGGTGGCGGATATAATCCATTACTTCAACAAACTGGACCAGTAACTACAACACAAGTAACCATTCCAACAGAATTAGCTGGTAAATGAGCTAGTTAAATTCTATATACAGAAATCTCATGAATATTTTTAGGTATCGTAATTGGAGCGAAAGGTTCGAAAATATCACAAGTTCGTCAAGAATCAGGAGCTTCAATAAAAATTGATTCTGAACCAATGCCAGGCACCAATGATAGATTAATAACAATAACAGGTAATCCAAATCAAATTCAACAAGCACAATTTCTTCTTCAACAAGCTGTTCGACAATCGGGATTATGGAATCAATAATTATATTAACTAAAACATGTTTATGATCATGGTGACAAATCCTGTGAGAGAAACAGATCGTTTCATTTTTTTTTCTTGTTCGTTTTTTAATGCGATTGATTGCGCGTATGTTCTTCCGTTCTTGTTTACGTACGAAGAATAAAGAAAAGAACGAAATATATATAAAAATATGTCATTTTACTCTCTAACACGCACCTATGAAATGATTACGTAAGTTTTTCATGAATTTAAACTAATCTAATTATTGACATTCTGTCAATTAAAATGTCATTTTGGACAGACATATAATGAATTCAAGAATTTGATGTTGACTACACGAACTCTATGATTTGTAGAATTCATTTTCAAAGTAAAATTAATCACTTATGTAACAGAAATTATTCATCTGGAATGTGCCCTCTATACATCATCTTGTCTAGCTCAATCCTTGCTTGAACGTCCAATATTAAAAATCTTTTCAAGCATGTTTCTGACGCATAACTTATTATTCAAGCGTACTGCAATATTCCAATTTCACAATGGTTAGATAATGAAATTTTTTTTTTTCTTCAAACATACACACCAATCGTTTTTATTTATATACAAAATCGGAAAAAAATTTACAAACAGAATATATGAATACGGGTAAAACGAAAGAAGCAACTGATTGTGAATGCCAAAAACGTTTGTTTGTACAAAAAAAAAAGAAAGAACGAAAAACCAGCGATCATCATCACTACAGCAAAAAAACGAAAGAAAAAACACACCGGACTACACGAAAGTTTCCTTTTTTCACACTATGGTTAAAGTCACCGGAAAACATTTGAAAGAAAAAAAGAATGAAACGGTTAACTATACTAATTTTCTCACACGGATATCGTATAGATATGTACACAAGTGTTGATATGTCTTTTTATGTATTAAGACTGTAACTGCGTTGTTGTTTGGGAGTATATAAAAGTTCCATATCGTTTATAATTGTTTGAACAAAACCATCAGAATTTCCAGCTACTGGTTGATCTAAAATAAAAATATCAATAATAGAATATTGAAAAAATCGTTTAATATAGAAATTTATACTGTATTTATTAGCAATAAGTTGATCGAATGCAGCTTCGAGTGAACTATTTGGTGATGAAGATGGTGAAGTAAGTTGACCCTGTTGATATCGTTTGAGAATAATTAATTTTGTCGATGCAATTATATCGATTAATGATTCTAAAATTTAAGAAAAAAAACAATATTTTTCTAGATTTTCTCAATCCCTTGATAACAGGATATTAGAAAAAAAAACATTTGGCTTCAAGCCAAAAACATTCTACAGAACGAATAGCTGATAAGAAAGAATCATAGACCTTAAAGTACAACTCGTTTCTTTTTCTTCTCTCTTCTCTTCTGCCAAACAAAACAACACAGAAAAGAAAAGAAAATATGAGGACATACTGTGTTCTTCATTGAGACCATGTAGTTTAACTTTATTTGCTTCATGTTGAGCTTTTTTACGAAGTCGACATGCTCTAAATTAATAATTAAAAATAATAATTCGTTTTTTTTTAATATAAATACAAACCTGCTAGCAATTTTATTCTTTTCTTTTTTAACTTCTGCTGTATCATTATTATTTGTATGTGGATCAGCATGATAAATTCCATGATAAACAGATGATGAATTATTTGAAAGATCACGAATTTGTTTTCCAAGTTCGTAAAGTTTCATTGGATTTGGTGTAACATCATTTCCATCACCTTTACGAAGTTTATTAAATGTTTGTCCTTTTGTTTGAGTTAATTTTATTTGATAAACAGGATCACTAAATTCACGATGTAAATGTGGATCACGTTCTTTTAAATAAAGTATTCGTTTAGTTTTTGGTCCTTTTGATTGGACATTATATTGCCAAAAAAAGTGATGATGATGGATGTGCTCCAGATGGTTTTGTACTTGTTGATACAGTTGTTTCATCATCATCATCATCATCTGAAGTTAGATTATTATCATCATCTTGTATATGATCAGAAGAATTTTGTTCATAATCTGACCAAAGTTCAGTCTCACTGTGTTGTTCGATAGTACAACTTGGACTACTTGGATCATCTAAATAAAATTATAAAAAAAATAAATAAAATTTTTCTTTTCTTATGAATTTTACCTTTGATTTCTTCAACAGGAAAATCAACTAATGATGGACGTTTGCGAGTTGGAGGTGTTGAATCTTCATTTGTCGATTGATTAATTGAATATAATGTTTGTGGTTGAAATTTCGTTTCATTTGGAAATCTAGCTTGTCGACGATAATGAAAATTCGATGAACCATTGAATGATGATGATAGATTCGATTTTAATCGAAGTCGTTGCTGTTGATTTTCAACTTCAGAAAATGAATTTGATGATGGTCGAGGACACCAAGCCGAATTCGATGACACATCTGTCGAAACTGTTAATGATGCTGGTTTATTTTGATACGATGGAAGATTAACATAATTTGGACTTTTAAAACGATTTGGGTCGAATATAGTAAGATCTACATATACAATTTTAATAATTAAATTATTATTAAGCATCAAACATATATTTCTTCTTAAGAATCTATTAGATTATTTCATTTGATAACTTAGTAATTTAATTGATGAGATTCTTATAATAGAAAACATGCGTAAACTTTGAACTTGAAACTTTTTAAAAATGTACTACAACAGTGACTACTTCACGCTTAAGAGGTTAAAAAACAAATTATTCTTAATCATGAATAGTATATTCATGTTGTATTGTTCTAAAAATGCCCTAAGTTCTTTTGAATGACGTCATTTATTTAATAGTGTATTAATTACCTAATTTATTATGTTGATGTAATGATGATGGTCCATCATTCATACTAGCCGATCGAAAACGTTTTACATCCGATTGACCATTTGTATTACTTTGTAATTCATTAGGATACGATGTACCAAAAATAGAATTATCTTGTTGTTGAACAAATAGTGGTAGATGTAAATTATTTGATTGAATATAATGATTATTTAAACTTAATGTTGTAAATTTAGGACTTATACCTAATGATGAATATGCAGATGTTGTTGTTGAACGTGAATTATTATTATTATTCATTGAAAATGCTGTCGATGTTGATGTGAGTTCATTTATATTCAATGGTTCAGTAAAATTTGATGTTGCTATTGATGATGATGAAGGATTTTCAAGTAGATCAGATATTGAATCTAAATCAAGGTCGAGTGGTGGGACGGATAAAGAATCATCAAGTAATATAACATCTTCATGTTCATGTTTCATGATTTCATCAATTTCATCGATTTCATCACAAAAATTATTTGTTGATAATGTTTGGTCAGACCAATCGATCATTGTACGATCTTTTTTAAATAATTAAAATAAATATTTAAAAATAAATAAATAAAAAAATCTATATAGATATACTTGGAGTATACATTGAGGATAAATCGTGTGTTTGACTAAATCCAAGCATAGTAATCTACAAAATATGTACTCTACAAGATCAAAAAAAAATCTTTATCATGATAAGCAAAATAAATTTTTTTATAGTACAAAAAAGAAATAAAAGAAAAAGAACAAAAAGAAAAAAAACTCAATGATATATTTGAATACAAACTTATTTTTATGCTCAGTAGAAATTACCATATTATTATCAACGTTAATTAAATAAGGAAAATAATATGCGAGGAGTATAACATTCTTTACTATTCTCGAATAATTAAAAGAACAAAAAAGAAAAAAGTGCATAACAAATTTAGTCATCTATATATTTATTAATAGAAACAAAATATTTATTTGTATAAATTATCAATGAAGTTCATCAAAGGTTATACAATAATACAATAACTACTAACCAATCGTATAGTAATCTATTGATTTTGTTTTTCTTTCTTTTTGTCAGTACGAGGTTGTTAGAGTCCTTTTCAAGCATGCATACATGCGCCCATGTATGTGTATTTGTTCTTTGAGATAGAAAAAAAAGGCAAAAAAGAACGGGTTACTTATGAAGAACGAAAGAAACAAACAAAAAAAATGAGAACTATTTGTTTTCTTTCACCCCAATTCTTTGTCTTCCTCTATACTTAAACTGACTGAATAATATGCTATAAAATACTCTCACATAGTCACGAGAATACAACAAAAATACTAATTCTTACACTTATTCTTTTAAAAAGTAAATTATACATTTATTGTCTTCTTAACTTCTTGCTTCTTTCTACAATTAATTTATCGCCAATCATATCAAATGTACTCGAAAACATTCTATATATTCTACTAAATAGAAAAGAAAAAAAAGAAAATAACATGCAACTGACGATACTCTAAGTTACTCATGTCGTTTGATATTATTTATTACTTATAACGATTCTGTTCTCTTCTCTTTCTCGGATGCTACGACAAGGCTACCGAGTGCACAAAAACATCAAAAAAGTTCTATGTATTGGATATTCTCCAATTGTATATCTTAGGAATGAATAAAAAAAGAAACACCTGTATACAGATAAAGAGCAAATGTACTGTTATTGCTATTATCACGAGTAAAACATTATTTACTCTATAATCAAAGAATGTGAGATAGGATGCTTTTTTTGTAGAAAAGGAAGAGAAACAGGATATGCATGCCCTTTTTTTTGTCTCTCTATATCTGATTGTATTGTGTTTACTTAAACGAGTGATAAAGGAGGTGTGGCTGAATAAGCTTAAAATATTTCTGATGATAAAATAAAATAAAAGAAGCCTCGCCTCGACTCGAAGATTCCAAAGAACATATTCTTTCATCCATGATCGTATCTTATTAGTTCACTCCTCGATCAATGATGAGATAATGGAGGTTAATAGGTTAAAAAACAAAATGGCTAAACTTTGTTCTCATTCGTTTATTTCTTTATGTCGCTATAATCAATAGAAATATTTCAATATACATAGCGCTTCTTTCTAACAATCAATTTCAGCATGTAAGTATCATGCTTACTTTAAAAGATCATCGTTTATTCTTTCTTTCTTAGTGACAAATTTGTAAAACAAAATTTAATCATATAGAAGGATACATTGTATTCAAACCAACTCGATCATATGAACCCAACTTCTGCCAATAGTGGCAGTCTGGTATGTAATTTCCAAGTAAAATACTTTTAAAAATAATTCATTTTGTTTTTCATTTAGGGTTTAAATACCATTGTTTCAACACTTGTTCAAAATTCATCCACGTAAGAATTCAATTTATTTCAATAGAAATAATGTTTATACTTCATTATTTGTAGTCGACCACCATCAACAACTATTGTTTCCAATATACAAAACGCTTCATCGCCTGTAAATCTTTTTACTAATTTACCTGGTGGTCTTTTTGCACCAAACAACAATAATAATAATAATAGTATCAATTCATCAACTGCCAATCAAGGGCAATTAACATCATCAGTAATTTGAAAAATCGATCTGTTTTTGTCTTTACGAAATATTTTCTTTTCTCTCTATAGCGCCTTAAAGTGGAGGATGCACTCAATTATCTCGATAAGGTGAAGAACCAATTTGCGCTTCAACCGCAAGTATACAATCAATTTTTGGATATTATGAAAGAGTTTAAATCACAAAGGTTAGTCATTTTTAAAATCGAGAGATATATTTAAATTTGCTTTCTATAGTATTGATACACAAGAAGTTATCAATCGTGTATCAACACTCTTTCATGGTCATCCAGATTTGATTGTTGGTTTTAACACCTTTTTACCACCAGGTTATAAAATTGAAGTTAGTGAAGAACATCATGGTTACATTCAAGTAACACATCCATCATCACGAACAGAATCAATTGCAATTGGAGGACCTTCAAATACAACATATAATCTATCAATAACAACTCCAACAACAACATATCGACAAACAGCAAATTTATTGAGTCAAGATAATGACGAAACAGATCTTATACAACAGCAACAACAATTACAATTAGCAAATAATGCAACATCACAAGCTGTTAATGCTTTAATATCCGCTGCTACTGCACCACAAGTCCCATTTTTCGGTACAACAGGAGGTTTAAATTTATCAACGAAAAATAATAAACAACCAACAACAAATGTAAGTTCTTCAACACAAGCTACAGCAGTTGAAAAAACGTCAAGTGGACAACCCGTAGAATTTAATCATGCGATAAATTATGTTAATAAAATCAAAAATCGTTTTCATCAGTAAGTTGTTTGTTTTGCATGTTCATGTTCTTGAGTTTAAGCGAATAACAATCTTATTCTAATTGTTTATAGAAGTTCGAATCTAAAGTAATATATGATCTGGAAAGCGATAGAAAGATTATATTGATAAAAATATAATAGATATACTGACAATATCTGGTAGATTACAATGAATTGTTTAATAACGTTTTTTTTTGTGTACTTATACTACATATTACAGAGCAAATGAATATATAGCATAATCGATGTTGTAGAGCATATCTTATTGTTTCCATTTATTGATAGAAAAATACGATGATGTACTAGCTTCATAGTACGACAGTTTATATATATCTTTCATTTCAGGAGTCCAAATATCTATAAAACATTCCTTGAAATTCTTCATACATATCAAAAGCAACAAAAAGATGCGAAAGAAATTCCTTCTGGTAATCTAGCACTCAATACTGTCGCATCACTATCAACTGGAATTGGTAATCAATCAACATTATTATCTGAAACTGAAGTTTATGCTAAAGTTGCACAATTATTTACTAATCACGAAGATCTTCTTGCTGAATTCAGTCAATTTTTACCAGATGCTACACAACAACCAACAGTAAATATTAACTAAATAAATAAACTTTATTTTTTTTATTTTTTTTCAAAGGAACGTACAAATTCCATATCTGATATTCTTTCATCATCTGGTAGTTCAACTCCACCAATGTTTTCATCTCAAACAAGTTCAATTTCTAATACAACAACAACAAATACAACTCCAATTGTAACTAATCCAACACCACGTTTAATAATTAATAATCCTGTTTCATCATCAATAACAACAACATCAACTTCTTCATCGTTTTTAACAATCAATAATAATTCAAATACATCTCCATTATCATCATTAGCAATGTTATCAACAGCACCATCATTTACTGTTTTAACATCAGTTAAAGATGAATTAACACGTCCACCATCACCAAAACGAACAGCAACAACAGCAACAGCAACAACAACGCCAACAACAAGTGCATCAACTAGTACGAATAATCTTTCAAATAAACGAGCTGCTTCAGCATCAAAATCTCCAGCAGCAACAATTCCTACTACATCATCAACATCGATGGCAACAACACCAACAATGGCAACTAAGAAAAAACGTTTAACAATGACAAATAATATTCAACCAATATCACCTACTATTAGACATACCAGTACAGTTGAAGTAACTACAGGACAAAATAGAAAAGCAACATCAGTCGATGATATGATGTTTTTTGAAAAAGTAATTCTTTATTTTCTATTTAATTAATTTTTTCTATTCGAATTTTTTTATTTCAAGGTACAAAAAACACTTCGAAGTTCATTAGTATTTGATAATTTTTTACGTTGTATTTTACTTTATACAAAACGAATTATATCTCGTAATGAATTATTTGAACTTATACAATCCTATTTAAGGTAAAACAACGAATTTTATATTTGACAAAAAAAAAAGAAATCTTATTATTTTTTTTAGTCATGTACCTGATCTATTAAAAACATTTCAAGAATTAATTAATCAACGTGAACCAGGAGATATTATTATTCCTAAAAGTATCTATGATCAACATGATACAGATAGTATGATTAGTATTGGTAAGTTTTTATCAACACAAAATAAACTTAATATTGATATAATCTTATTTTAGACTATGGTTCATGTTCTCAATATGGAACAAGTTATCGTTCAGTACCACGTTCTTATATTCCTCCGTCGTGTAGTGGTCGAACACAATTATGTAAAGAAGTTCTCAATGATCATTGTGTATTATTTCCAACATTTACTGATGAATCTTCATCTGTTGCATCGAAAAAAAGTGTTTTTGAAGAACATATGTATAAAATTGAAGATGAACGTTTTGAACTTGATATTGTTATGGAAGTTAATTTAAGTGCTATACGTGCATTAGAAAGTGTACAATTACATATGAATTCTTTAACAACAGATCAATTACATCATTTTCAATTAGATGATCAATTAGGTGGACAGTCAAGTGTTATACAAAAACAAGCTGTACAAAGAATCTATGGTGAACGTGCTAATGAAATTATTGATGGTTTAAAAAGAAATCCACGTATTGCAGTACCAATTGTTCTTAAACGGTTAGTTAAAATTTGAAGTTTTATTTATTATTTGTTGTTATTGTTATTTTGAAGATTAAAAGCAAAAGATGAAGAATGGCGTGAAGCAAAAAAGAATTTTGAACGTTTTTGGAAAGAACAAAGTGAAAAATATTATTTGAAATCATTAGAT